GCCCAAAGGGCGGGAAACGAAGACCTTTGGTCCCGGTTGGTGGAACAAACCGGGACTAAAAGGGGGGCATTGGTCCCGGTTGGTGGCACCAACCGGTACCAATGAGTGTTATTGGTACCGGTTGGTGCCACCAACCGGTACCAATGGACCCGTCTAACTACTTTTTTATTTTTTGCAGCTGTTTTTTTGTTGATTCTTCCTGCAGCTGTTTTTTTAGTCCCACCTCGTCAAGCGAGAGGCACTCGCAGCTGTTTATAAGCCCTGAGTGGAGAGACGATGACGAAGAGGCCCAATGCTCCTGCACGTTGGTTAGCTTCAAGCCTTGAGGAGTACGGTAGACTGCACAGAGCTATGTGTAGTGCAGTTGACACTATTCCGAAAGGCTTGAAGCAAATTAACAAGCATTGCGCCTCTTTTTTATTTTTAATGACTTATTACAACTGAGAAATAAAAAGAAAAAAATATATATAGCTGAAAAGAAAAAAAACTATATAGAAAACTACTCAGAAATGAATTGAAGCAAAAAATAGTTGTGATTAACTGTAGTAAAAAAGGAGCATAGATGCTTATTTTTAATGACTTATTACAACTCGGAAATAAAAAGAAAAAACAAATATAGCAGAAAGAAAAAAAAACTATATAAAAAGATACTCAGAAATGAATTGAAGCAAAAAATAGTTGTGATTAACTGTACTAAAAAGGAGCATAGATGCTTATTTTTAATGATTTATTACAACTCAGGAATAAAAAGAAAAGAAAATAGTTGTGATTAACTTTACTAAAATATGAGCATAGATGCTTATTCTTAATGACTTATTACAGTTAAAAAATAAATAGAAGAAAAAATAGTTATGATTAACTTTACTAAAAAATTGAGCATAGACGCTTATTTTTAATGACTTATTACAACTGAGAAATAAAAAGAAAACAAATAAATATAGCTGAAAAGAAAAAAAACTATATAGAAAACTACTCAGAAATGAATTGAAGCAAAAAATAGTTGTGATTAACTGTACTAAAAAGGAGCATAGATGTTTATTTTTAATGACTTGTTACAACTCAGAAATAAAAAGAAGAAAAAATAGTTGTGATTAACTTTACTAAAATATGAGCATAGATGCTTATTTTTAATGACTTATTACAATTCAAAAATAAATAGAAGAAAAAATAGTTATGATTAACTTTACTAAAAAATGAGCATAGATGCTTATTTTTAATGACTTATTACAACTCAGAAATAAAAAGAAAAAAATAAATATAGCAGAAAAGAAAAAAAACTATATAAAAAGCTACTCAGAAATGAGCATAGATGCGCTTATAGAGGAAATTCAAATTAAATTCATAACAAATTTCAAGAGAAATTCGTATGAATTTAGCCTAAATTCTCTATATAAGGGCATCTATTTTCATTTTCAGAGGAGCTCAATAAGGCAGAGAGGGAGGGGCTTATAAACCGGTCTGATTCCCCTCCGGTTGGCGAGGTGGGACTAAACTTTGGCCGCAACGAGGACCAACCCTTTAGTTCCGGTTGGTGGCTTGGACCGGGACTAATGGTCGTCCTTTGGTCCCGGTTCAGGCCACCAACCGGGACCAATGATGGTGGGCCAGGAGCGAGGCACATTGGTCCCGATTCATCCCACCAACCGGGACCAATGGGTCCAGACGAACCGGGACCAATGGCCCACGTGCCCGGCCGGCCCCTGGAGCTCACGAACCGGGTCCAATGCCCCCATTGGTCCCGGTTCTGGATTGAACCGGGACTAATGGGCTGGATCGGCCTAGACCATTGGCCCCTTTTCTACTAGTGATAGATATACATAGATATATAGATATAGATATAGGTATAGGTATTTCTTGGGAGTTTAGAATTAATTAGTATAGATATATATATAGAGATAGAACGATAAAGGGTGTTCTTTATACACTCATAATGTCATACCATGTGGATACAAACAGAATTGAGTATACACATGGCCTCTGCACAAGTAGGATGCACATAGCCAAAAAAAGACTCATATGGGTCAAGGCGATGCGAACGACCCACTGCAGCAAAATCTCAACTACTACCACTTACATTGACAATACATGGACGACGTGAAGGTTCCCCCAACAGCGACACCTTCAACAAGAAAACGATGCATGGACATCAACGTCACCGTTTCCAACCATATACGCCAGATCGTGGATTTTTCACCCAGAAGAAAAGGACCGAGTAAGCTTCAGATAGTGCCTTCAACAAGGGAGCATAAACCTTCACTGCCAGCTACACCTAGAGAAGGTTAGACCTAGGTTTTCACCCAGAAACTCGAGATCCGGTATTCAAAGAACACCATCATAGACGAAGTCCTCTATATTGCCTCCACCAACTTGCCCGTGGAGAAGTCATGCAGCAATATCCCGAACAACACAGGAATTGCGGATCAATGTGAACACCATATACCATTTGCTGAGACGACAGATCTGACAACGCAGACAATGGTCGTGCAATGCTAGCACTTGTGCCAATGTGGAGCACGCCCTGACAGTAACCGGAGCACAACAGATATCCAGTGAAGACGAACCATCATGAGGGCGGGAGCCATGAGGTAGGCTTGCACGCGAATCCGGATGGACAAGTCACATGGCACCACCGAGCATGCACTGCAATGTGTGGACCAAAACGCGAAGAGGTAACTGCAATAGCGCATCATATCATGTCCAGTTTCTCTTCTTTCTCTCGATCGATCGATCGCAATCTCGGTCATCATGGCCACACAATTAAGAGTGGCTAAAGAAAAAATATCTTGTTTGATTACTGCTGCCATTGGCGAAAGATCTCCTTCCTATCCTGCATTGCTTCGCTCTCGCGTCGTACTCTATATCCCGTCTGAATCCGTATAGATATATAGATATAAATATAGATAGATAGATAGATAGATAGATAGATATAGATAGATAGATAGATAGATAGATATAGATCGATAAAGGGCGTTCTTCATTAACTCATAATATCGCATCAAGTAGATACAAACAGAATTGAGTATACACATGACCTCTGCACAACTAGAATGCACACAGCCGAGAATAAAAAAAAAAGGAAAAAAGACCCATAGGGGTCAAGGCGATGTGAACGACCCACTACAGCAAAATCTCAACTACTACCACTTACATTGACAATACGTGGACGACGTGAAGGTTCCCCCAACAGCGACACCTTCAACAAAGAAACGATGCATGGACATCGACGTCACCGTATCCAACCATATAGGTCAGATCGTGGATTTTCACCCAGAAGAGAAGGACTGAGTAAGCTCCAGACAGTGCCTTCAACAAGGAAGCATAAACCGCCACTGCCAGGTACACCCAGAGAAGGTTAGACCTAGGGTTTTCACCCGGAAACTCGAGACCCGGTATTCAGAGAACACTGCCATAGACGAAGTCCTCTATACACCGCCACCAACTTGCCTGTGTGGAGAAGTCATGTAGCAATGTCCCGAACAACACGGGAATCACGGATCAACATGAACACCACATATCATTTGCTGAGACGGCTGATCTGACAACAGCACTGCATGCTAGCACTTGCGCCAAGCCGCCAATGTGGGGCACACCCTGACCATCACTGAAGCATGACGGATATCCAGTGAAGACGAACCATCATGAGGGCGCGAGCCATGCGGTAGGCTTGCACGCGAAGCCGGACGGCCAAGTCACATGCAGCATCACCGAGCATACAATGCAATGCGTGGACCAAAACGCCAAGAGGTAACTGCAATAGTGCATCATATCATGTTCAGTTTCTCTTCTCTCGATCGCAATTTCGGTCATCATGGACACACAATTAAGAGTGGCTAAAGAAAAAGGGAAGATCTTGTTTGATTACTGCTGCCATTGGTGAAAGATCTCCTTCCTACCCCGCATTGCTTGATTACTGTTGCATTGCTTCGCTCTCGCCTCGTGCTCTATATCTCGTCCGAATCTAACTGCCGCGTTCGTCCTCTTCCTATCCTGCCGATCAACAAGTGTGATACATATGCGCAGCCCAAGCGAAGGCAACCGACCTTGGCTTGCACATATCTTCTTCTTGTTCCAGCGGCATGCGTGCGTGTGCGTCTTGGTGACTTGGTGTACTCTACTACGTGGTGGTATAGCGCGAGACAGAATAGAGAGCGCGATATATATGGGGAGCGGCGGGTTGTTGTTGCCGACGGTGGTGATGCTGGCGCTCAACGTGATGTCCACGGTGATGGTGGCGCTGGTCAAGGTGGCCATGGCCGGCGGCCTCGACCCGCTCGTGCTCGTCACGCTGCAGCAGCTCGCCGCCGCCATCTTCCTCTGCCCCATCGCGCACTTCATAGAGGGGTGAGGGAGTCCACACGACATCCATCCATTTCGATTGCATGAAGCAACATATGTAGCCTTTCTCTCATCTTCGTGTTGATTGGTCTCATCCATCAGCAAGTCGAGGCCCAAGATGACGCTCCAGATCTTCGCCTACCTCTTCGTCAGCGCCGCGCTCGGGTACTTTTCCATTCATTGATCAAATCTTCTCCGTTTGATCTTCAAATCAACAACGTTTGGATCATATGGTGTACACGATCGATCTTGCATGGTGGCACGCAGAGCGGCGATGAGGCAGTACATGGTCTTCGTGGGGCTGCGCTACACCACGGCGACCTTCGTCAGCGCCTTCTCCAACATCGCGCCCATGCTCACCTTCGTGCTCGCCGTCGCCACCCGCTCCGAGTCGCTCCACCTCAGGGCCGCCACCGGCGCCGCCAAGCTCGCCGGCACGCTCGTCTCGCTCGCCGGCGCCATGCTGCTCACCTTCTACAGAGGCGTGGCCCTCACCCACCCAAACAGCGCCCACCAGCTCCACCGCTCCCCTTCATCCCCGCCGTCGCCAGGAGCGGACTCCGGCAGGCGGTGGACGCTTGGCACGGTGGCGATCCTCGGCAACTGCGTCTGCCTCGCCTGCTGGTACCTGCTCCAGGGCAGGATCACCAGGAAGTACCCCTACGTCTACTCCTGCAACGCCTTCCTGTCCACCTTCAGCTTCCTCCAGGTCGTCGTCGTCGGCCTCTGCGTGAAGCACAACCTCGCCTCCTGGATCATCACCAACAAGCTCCAGATCCTCACCATCCTCTACTCCGTAAGCTTCTGAATTGCTTGCGACGGTATGCCGCCGATCGTCGTAACTGATTAATTGTGCCTGAACTGAATGAATTCAGGGCGTGGTGGCGACGGGCATGTCCTTCGTGCTGCTGACGTGGTGCATCCAGAAGCGGGGGGCGGTGTTCGTCGCCGCCTTCGTCCCGGTGTCGCAGGTCATCGTCTGCATCATGGACTTCACCGTCCTGCATGAACCGCTCTACCTTGGAAGGTGCAAACATACATACTGCTTACCCATGGCATGGCATGGCGTGATTGGCATCTGACACTTATGCTTTGCAAACGTGTATGCATGCATGCAGTGTGGTGGGATCTGTGATTGTGATATGTGGCCTGTATCTTCTGCTGTGGGGCAAGAGGCAGGAGGCCTTGCAACAGCATCCAGAAGGTGCTAAAGATGACCAAGAACAACAGCAGCAGCAGCAAGTGCAATCGCAGCCATGACTGAAGATTGAGAGACAGAGATCCTCAATTGGGTGTTAACAAGTGCAGCAAATAAGTTTTACAATAATTTTTCCATGTTCTAGTAATTATTGTGATCACTATTCTGCCGCAAATTAGGCTTCACGATGGTTTCATTCACGAAGTTGTTTAGGTTCAGGATGCTATTATAAATATGTAGTGTACTATATGTAGCAATATGTTTAGAAATTATCATGTGACTATTATTAGAAGATATGGCGTGATGGTTGCTGAATACAATAGATTTGAAAATTAATTCGCTAGGTCAGTTTCGATCACACAACCTCACAATACTACACGCGGGCTAATTACCAGCGCAGCTGAAGAGACTTGTTGCTCAATATCTAGCTCGGGGTTTTAATAACGCGGTATTGTTATATCGAGTGTCTTCTGAAAATTCAAACACTAGTTTTTTTGGATGAAGTAAATACTTTTTGAAACGCGGAATATATAAACAAGTTCAAACAAAATATTCGAGATTTGACGATTTTTTATTTTGTGATTTTTTTTTAGAAAATGGAAATAATTTTTGGAAGTTAGCATAATAGTGGAAATACGAACATTTTTTAAACTCTGAACAAAAATTGAAAATATGAACATTTTTTTAGTACGTAAACGAAATCTAAAAGATGAAATTTTTTTGGAGAAAACGATTTTTTTTAAAAAGCAAACAAATTTATGAAAATATCATCTTTTTTAAAATTCCCAAATTTTTATAAATTTGTGAACAAAAAATGAAAACAGGAACATTTTTTTCTCAAACATTTTTTGTAAAGCGAGAACATATTTTGAATTGGTGAACAATTTTTGAATGGGAATAGTTTTTTGAAACTCTGAACAATTTTGAAAAAGAAAAAACATTTTTTGAATTTGGAGCAAATATTTGAAATTCTCGAACTTATTTGGAAATAAAAAGCGAAAAGGAAAAAAAATGAAATAGATATAAAGGAAAAGAAAAAGTACAAAAGAAACAAAACAGAAAAATAGGAAAACAGAAAAGACGCTGAACGAACATTCTGGATGGTTCCAAAACCTGCTAGGAAACTTCTAGAAAGTTCCCAAAACCAGAACTACCTACAGCAGGAGATGGGCCGGCCCAGTTGATAGCTCCCTTGTGGACTGTTTGACCTAGAGAGCGTCAAATAGGGTTTTCCATCAACATCGGCTGGCAAGCAATATTGTGGGCTTGCTACCTCCTTCCTGGGCTTTCTCTGTCGTTTCATGGGCCTGAGTTGTGGGCTTATTTTTTAAGCTGCCAAAAGAACTGGGCCTTGGTCTCCCTTTACAAGGAGCATAATTTAAATGTTATTTTGCCAAACCGGGCATCGCCACCCCGAGCAAGCTAGCTGGGCAGTGGCCACTGGAAATGGATACATCACCAGTATTGCACCAATGGAGTTCAGCCCCGAACCCCAAACGGGCCGTGGCCGGGGGCCATGCCCATTTTGGCATTCTCCATTGCAAGATTGAAAACCACAACAAAATTCAAAGCAAGGGCGATATGTAGAAAAAATACTTCTGAGAACGTGCAGGAGGCCGAGTACGACGATCGATGCACACCAGAATGGATAGATCGGTACATAAATCGTGTTTGGACCTGTATTCCATGCGTACATGCAGAATTTTCCGGATCGGTTGATCGGTCATCCAACTTCATCCAACTTTGCTCTCGTTTTTATCTGTTTCAGTTTCAGTTGTAGTACGTTTTCTTTTTCTTTTCTTGTTTATACGTTTTCCTTTCCTAGGCACCTGCATGCGCGCTGGGAACTGAATTAGGCATGGCCTGCTTTGGGAGAGTGTGCTCTGCTTTGGCCTTAATGGAAGAGCATGACAACTTTACACTAGTCAGTCGTTGAGAGAGACAAAACTTTGCACACATATGGTTGTTTGCAACTGCAACACTTTCCTTCCTGGAAAACTAACATTCCCTCAGGTTTTATTGGTTCACCATCGTGGATGCACTACTACTACCACTCGCCATAGTGCGTTGCTTCGGTTTAACTCTCGGTTGGGTTGCTCACTATTCTGCGCACGCCTCCGAGAGATAGACGGAGGTAGCTGTGTTTGGCCCAATAGGTTCGATGTTTAGGTTTTATTTCTATTTCTATGCAAGCAGAAAGGGGTTTCATTTTTAAATAGTATATATCAAATCTTTTCCTTAATGTATATAAAAATCATATTATATCAAAATAACTACATTGGAAACAATTATTTCCAGACAAGAAACGTTTCCACAAATAATTTTTACTTTGCAAATAACTCATTTAGGAATTTATAAATACAAAATGAATAAGAGGATTTAATAAATAAAAAATTTGTTTTGAAATATCCCAAAATTGCAAGCGTACTATTTTGGGGAAGTCCTTTCATCCCCTCTCTTTATTTTAAGTAAGATAAAAGATCCAGATGAACTCCAAATAAAACATTTATTCACCATATTGGAGAAAGTTGTTCTATCCTCTCTCGCTCTCTCTCTCTCTCTCTCTCTCTCTCTCTCTCTCTCTCTATATATATATATATATATATATATATATATATATATATAACAAATTTTATCTACAAGCAGTGGTAGTTACCACCTAATTATTTAGCCTCCACGTGTCCTCAAACATAGCGGCAAGCGAACGAAGACCTGGGCTATCATTTGCGGGCAGAACCCGCTAACCCATAGGTTGCCGCACTCAACAGGTGGAGAAAATCTATTCCCTAGATATAGCATTCCCTGATTTTTAGGTGGGGAGGTACGTGTAACTTGTCAACCAATCACGGGTAGAGCTAGCTATAAAGAAGGGGCTGGAGATTATCTTGACTGGATAACATGCTCCTTCGATAATTTTTGTTCTCTTAATTAAATAATCCCGCAAGTGACATGCGTTAGTTCAACCACCACCTTTATTTCACGCCTACCTCGAACAACATGTTGATGAGTATATGTACGCTGAACGTGACATTGTGATTTTTCAGTTGGATTGAAAAAACATTTCTACATAGAGTACGTTAGTTTTTTCTAAGAAAATAGTGTGGAGTATGTAGCGTGAAGTATGTGCGTTGTGAACAGATAAACAACACATATTGTGGTGCATTTTCTGTGCATGCAAATGTATGTAGTATGTGTGTGCTGGTGGGTTGATTATTTGAATACATGTAGCCTCCTGGGTTGCTCAAATTTACACGTACACTTCCATGTAATACACACAAGATTTTATGGTTGTAGTAGTAGTATGGTTGTGCATTAGCACTGTAATGTACGTACTTACTTTGCCTTGGCCAAAGAAAATCTTTGTCCATTTCTTTTTTGGAGGAATAAACTTTTTTCCATTTTTGAGGGATAAACCTTTTTCTATTTTGTTTCTTAACGGGATAAGAATGATTATAAACACATTGATTTTGTTGTAATATGGAGTACATGTATGCTCTTTGCTGGGAGTATCAACTCTAGTTCGAGTCTCCACATTTCTATTCAGAGTATGGAGTATATAATATACTACTATTCTAGAAATTTGTACTTTGTAGAGTATGTAGTATGAAGTATCTTCAAAAAGGAGTATGAAGTATGGAGTATGTCCAAATGAGGAGTATACTATCCAAAAAAAGGAGTATATTCCCACAAAAAATTAGATATATACTCCAAGATGAGAGGAGTATCTCCAGAAAAAAAATGTGTACATCTTTTTTTTTCTTGGAGTGGGAAATGCGTACATCTTGATACTGATGAAAGGAGTATATGAGATCAAAGGAGTGTGTAGATTCCAAGTAAAGAGCATATGTAAGAAACGTAGTATGGAGTATAATATGCAAGGCAATATTTAGTATTATTTGTTGGTAGAACAAAGGTAGTATGTAGTAGGTAGTATGTAGTATGTAGTATTATCCCTTGGTATAAGAGTGATGTACATGTACTACACAAAAGCGCAAATAGTTCATCCATGATTTTATGGACTTCTACATGAGATCGACTGATCACATACAGTATATTCTCTTGTTTCCATCAGGTCATACGCCCATCTTCTTATCTGTAGAGTTTGTTTAGCAACTATAAATTTGGCTGGTCGTACGTCGGCGCAGCCGCCGCCGCGGTGCTGGAACAGTCACATCCCTCTAACATGTGCCACCATAGTTGTTGCCATCGTGATTGATGCATCGAGGTGTCGGAGCAGTACTGACCAATACGTGGTGAAGTGCAAAGCCAACAGAGTCGATGGACGTCGTCGGCAACGGCGACAGCGAGTTTGACCTGCTGAAAAATTCCAGCAATAACAACGAATAATTAGCACGCTGGCACTCCGGCAGCAATGGCGGGCGTGCGCGTGCGTGGTGCATGGCCGCTGGTCAATGGATGCATCTCTTCTTAATTGGCATCGATTCTAGTATGCATGTACATATGCTAAATCTAGAAACCAGAGAAGGATGGATCAAAGATTAGCTTGCATATTCAAAACAAGATGGATTAATGAATTGAACCACCATAACCAGTAATACCTTCGGAATGGCCCCTCCCATGAAACATCACACCGGCGGCCGGTGGATATAATTTGAAATCTAGCTTGCTCGCTTGACTGCACGTAGTTATATATGGTAATTATCTGTCCACATAAATCGGGGGGCAGGTGGGGGATACGGCTGATCAGTTTAGCCGGGTAGAGAAAGTCTAGGCACACTCAGAAGTCAGAACCGAACCCGTTAATCAACGCTCGTACCTGGAGGAGATCCGACGGCTGCGAGGGTGGAGGTAACTACCATTAGATGGTAGTATGCATTTTCCCTATATATATATATATATATATATATATATATATATATATATATATATGGAAAATATTTCAAAATGCAAATCTCTTTTGAGCTTGAAACAAATATTCCCTCTCAATGAATTATGTTCATTGCATACTTAGTCATCCAAGCCTTGTAATCGATTCATGCGTGTTTATCTGATTTGTTTCCTGTTGTCAGTTGCGTGATTGATGTACGCGTGTCTTGGGCTT